ATAATTTTAAATTGTAAATTCATAATTTATATATCCTATAGTCATAATTTCTATATTGCATATTCATAATATCTGTACTGTAGATTCATAATTTCTAAATTGTATAGTTATCAAATTATGAACATATAGTTCTGTGATTTGTGAATACAAAGTTCAACAATTGGGAATATAAAAAATTATGAACATATAGCTCTATCACATGTTCACAAACCTAATATTGTAGATTCATAATTTCTATACTGTATATTCATAATTTCTAAACTGTAGATTCATAATTTATACACTGTAGATTCATACTGAAGACAATACAATGCGATTGCGAAGAGAAAAACGCCGTTAACGACAAGCGAAAAAACAATATATAATTTTTTAATTATAAAAATTATGAATCTACAGTATAGAAATTATGAATCTGGAATCAATCGCAAGGTGGGCACGTTTTCACAGCATAATTTGTCTCTTTTTGTTTTTGTTTTTGTTTTTTGTTTTTAACACTAATGATTCTTTACGACAAATTATTGTGTGGACCATGGTTCACACAATGTTATGTGAACCATAACAAAAGGTACATTTTTAATATACTAAAAGTACATTATTTGTGTATTAAATGTATATTATACAAAATAATGTACTTCCAGTACTCAAATAATGTACTTTCCATGAATAGAATGTATATTTTTAATATATTAAAAGTATATTATTTGTGTATTGAATGTACATTATTTGATAGTATTATGTGGACCATGGTTCACACAATAATGGTTGATTCTTTACCAGGTAGTATCTGTTTTACTATTTTTTTCAATTCTTTTGCGCCCAAAGCACAGTTGTTCAATTCTGTGGCCATACATTTAAAATAGTAATAGAGGTGTCATCACATCATATATTAATTGACGATTACTTTTTGTTAATTAGTATTGTTTATCAAACTTATGATCATTCAAATACAAAAATTATGTTTCACTTACTCAACCAGCTCTTAAAATACACAAAAATTTTGAAAACCTTATAAACATTGAACCATAAATAGTCCCATATCTACTATTGATTCGTAAGTGCATAAGAAATAGTTGTAAGAGTTAATACCCAAAATGGTGCTTCGACTATGTCATAATTACCAATTTGGTCCTCAACTACTATTCTTACCCAATTAAGTCCTCAACTATGTAACTTTTACTCAATTAAGTCCTCAACTATACAATTCTTACCCAATTTAGTCCTCAACTATACAATTCTTACCCAATTTAGTCCTATGTATTAATTTGACTGTTTGTTGACTGTCAAAAGTCGGTATTATTTACAAGATTTCTCCTTCCTCTCCATTTAGCAGCGCCAAACCATGCAGCAATACACTCCGATCAGATTTCGATCGTCAAAAAATCGTTGGAAATCAAATTCATGGGCTATCCGATGCATAACCACTACTTCGATACTGACAGGTTTAGAACCCAGCCGGAGCTTATTGCTACATGGTTTGGCGCTGCTAAATGAGGAGGAAGGAGAAAACTTGTAAAATTACAACTTTATTTCCACTTTTGACAGTCAACAAACAGTCAAATTGACAAAGGACTAAATTGGGTAAAAATTGTATAGTTGAGGACTTAATTGGGTAAGAATGATAGTCGAGGACCAAATTGGTAATTACGACATAGTCGAGGGACTATTTTGGGTATTAACTCTAGTTGTAATATGAAGTTAGTCGTAACAGGTAGCACTGAGCTAGCAAAGCAATGTTAGTTATAGATCTGACAAGTCTTTACTCTCCAGCCTCCCATTTTGCAGAAAGCCTGTGTGGCCATTAAAAACTCTTCGTGCAACACCACTCTTTAATCTCTAACCACACAACATAAAAATCAGTACTTTTAAAGTACTATATGTATATGATAAACATAAAATAATATTATAAAATTTTGTATTTTCGTTCTTTTTCTTTTTCTTTTTATTTTTATTTATAGAAGTAATGAAACACATACTTCATTGTTGAGAGTAGCTTAAGAATAATTTATAAACTTTAATAACACATTTGGTTTGTAAAATGAAAAGAGATAGAATCGGAATTGGATTCAACCAACTAAGGGACAAATTAAAAACCAAAAAAAACAAAAAAAAAAAAAAAAAAAAAACAAAAAACAAAACAAAAGAAAAAAGAAAAAAGGAAAGGGAATATAATTTCATGATTTGGGTTGCAAAGAAAAGAATAATGAAATTTTATAATTATTAAATGTCCATTTTAAAAAAATTAATGATTTCTTTTTTTTTTGTTTGCATACGGTATTTGATAACCTCACCATTATAATTAATTTGAACTTAGTATGGGTCACGCCCACAAAGTTTGACTTTTATTTTTAATTGATTATTGTTCTCGGGTTGAGAATACCTGTTGTGCACAACGTACTATTCTTAGCCTCTTAGTCAATAGTGATATTTTGAGAGAGTACGCACAACTCCAATCAAGTTGGTTGAACGGTAGCAGTTACGGCTCACCATGAAGAAATAATCCGCATGAGGAGCTCGATGGATCATCAGTGGTCCTTAAACCTCTAGCATAAATAAAATCTAATTTTAAAAAATAATAATAAAGATTCAATGAAAACAATTAATGTATTTAAATGATCTAATTGTTCTTCCAAATGAGGCTAAAACAAATAAAACAATGGCTATCTTTGATTCTTTGTTGGAGAACAATGGTGGAAGGCTCATAGGATGAGACGAGCAATGATGGTATTTTTGTCTTGAAAATAGTGACAATTCATTGGTCATAACGAATAATTTTTTTTGGAAGGAATGACTTTGGAATGCGAATTCCTTTTTCAAAGCAAAAAGCTATGTGAAATTAACTCTGAATTACTAATTAATTTGGTAGATGAACCTATAACAAATAACAATTTCAATTCCTCAAATTTTCACCAACCAAACCTGTGTTAGAGGCCTAGAGCCAATTAGTATAAAAGGTAGACATAAGATAAAATCATAAAAATGAAGGAAACATGTCAATTTCTATTTTCAACACTCCAGCCAAATTTGATCATTTTGTTACTTGTGTTTACCATGTATTCAAATATATCAAGTTTTAATTTTTTTTTTTTTTTCTGAAAGCTATTGGTTCTATTACATAGATAAAGAATCAATAACGTCTCCACTAAGACTCGAACTCATAATCTTCCAAATAAAAGTCCAACCCGGGTACCATTAGACCACATATGTAGTTTTAATTTAATCATCCATTGCTTTCATTTTTTTTTTTTTGTCTAGTCACAAGTTTCGACTTGTCAACAAAGACCACACACCAAGCTAGACTAATCATGATTATTCAAAACTTTAGAGTTAATTCCATTAGAGGTCTTTGTCTTTGGTGACAATTCTAAATTTAGTCCCAGACTATCGTTTTTGTCATTTAACATCTTAGACTATTAGTTTTTGGATACTTTTAGTCATTCTCATGACTTTTCCTATTTTTATTAAGGGTATTTTTGTCTTTTCATGTTTTCTTTTGTTAATTTTTTAGTTTCAAACTGTTTAATTGGTTTAGGACTTTAGGTAGCCTCTGATTTTTAGTAATCATATTTTTCAATCGATTTTTAATAAAGTCCTAAACTAATTAGACCGGATTGAAACTTGAAAAATAAGAAAAGAAAAATATGAAGTGACAAAGATGCCTTTACTAAAAATAGAAAAAGTCATAAGAAGGAAAGTGCCCAAAAAATAATAGTCTGACATGTTAAAAGGTAAAAACAATAGTCTAGGACTAAATTTGAAATTGTCACAAAAAACAAGAAACATCTGATGGAATTAACTCCAAAACTTTATAACTTTGAATAGAGAGCAAACCTCTTTGTTCACCAAGATTATTGACACATATGACTCGTCTAAAATGAAAAAGTGTGGCAAAACTATAATCCTTATATACAACCTTGGTGATGGAAATGTCCAAGCATCACCTTCGAGAATGGGTCAAAGCAATAGAGAGAATGTTCGATATTCCTTGGATGATCAAAGATTTATTGAGAAATAGGTGAAGCCTCCAATGGGTGCTCAAAGCTCAACATCGATGAAGCGATTTATGAAGTTGGCATAAAAATAGGTTTTAGTTGGGTGCATAGATATGAGAATGATAGTTTTAAAGCAGCCAATCTACAGTTCGTGGAGGGGTTTGTTCTCCCCTGAAAGGGGACGAGTATTTTGCAATTATGAAGTCCAAAGTTGGTTGAAGGAGAAGAATATTGATTTTACCCATGTCAAAACATGTATATGCTCATCAAGTTGTTCAGGGGATGAATTATGCATTTGGAGACTCTTCTTTCAATCTTATTTTGTTAGATATAAAGATATGTTGCATCAGGCCGGGGATGAATTATGCATTTGGAGACTCTTCTTTCAATCTTATTTTGTTAGATATAAAGATATGTTGCATCAGTTTACTAATGTCTTTATCTCTTTCACGAAAGGTCTAATGAATCGAATTACTTATTTGTTAGCTTAAGAGTCCATTTCTGAGTCTGTTAGCATAGAATAATTAGTCTAGATCATAGTTAATGTTATTGTTTCATTTTGTTAAAAAAATTGATGAATTACAAATTTGATGATATATCACTCCATACCAGGCTAGCCAGGTTACCAAAGTCATTTTTTAAAGTAGAAAAAAGATTTGGGACACAAATTAATATTTTCTTCTTCCAAAAGGTTGAATCCGCAACCCTAAGAGCCCCTCACATGATATAAATCATGGTAACTCAATGATTCAGCAGACAGTGCGCACAAGAAATCTGTCTAACTTTGGACATAATTTTCACACTGCCGCCGCCAAAATTCGAACGTTGACTCTTTTTTTTAAATAATGTACATTAAACCATTAAACTAAACTCCAAAAATTAATATTTTGACCTGGGCTTAGGATGCCAAAAGAGGGGGTAAGAAAAATTCTCCTTTTATCTCCAATAGAATTGGAAACCAAACCCCGAGACCAACAATAAATACTCTTTCAAAGCCGTCTCTTTCTCCCCTTACGAAACTTCCCAGAAGCTCACTATGTTTCCCTATTCCCCTAATACTCTCTCCCATTTAACCCTCTCTTCTTCTCCCCAATTCTCATCCCTGCTTCTCCATTACCATGAAGCTCATCAAAACCATCTCTAACCCTAAGAAGCTCTTCAAGTCCAGATTTGCCCGCTTCGTTTCCAGATCCGATGATCCATCGACTCACAGCTCATCAGGATCCGCCTCCGATTCCTCCGACTCTCATAACGGCTCCAAGAAGCCCGGCGACGGCTCCTCCACTCCCACCAGCATCCTCCCTGCGCGTCCCGGCGCCGACGACGTTTACGCCGAGTTGGTCCAGGCGTTCAAGCTGATCGACAGAGACGGCGACGGCAAGATTCAGAAGGAGGAGCTGGAGGCTCTGTTGAGCCTGGTGGGAGCCGAGCCCCCCAGCGAGGAGGAGATCGATACGATGATGAGCGAGGTTGACAGGGACGGCGACGGCTGTATAAGCTTCGAGGAGTTCGCCGCGCTCAGCTCGGCTTTCGCGCCGCCGTCTTGCCACTCCGAGGTGAGGGACACTTTCGACTTCTTCGATACGGATCGCGACGGGAAGATAACGGCGGAGGAGCTGTTCAACGTGTTTCAAACCATCGGGGGCGGTAGGTGCACGTTAGAGGACTGCCGGCGCATGATAAGGGGAGTGGACAAGAACAGGGATGGGTTCGTATGCTTCGAGGACTTCAGCCGTATGATGGAGCAGCAGATATGATTGATTGATACATAACAAACCATCATCATCATGATCAAGCTGTTCTTGATTAGCATAAAATTGGTTTTCTTTTTTTTCGTCATCTTATAAATTCATCATTTACATTTTTTTTTTGGGATTTGATCTTTATTTAAAAATCGGATTTTAGGATAGCGAACAGATGGAATCAATAAATGGTTATGATTTCATCGTGGTTGAGTTGCTTCGTATGTGATGCGTATACATGGATAACAGAATTCATGGATTCCAACATTCTTGGAGATTACGTAACAAGAAACATCTGATAATACTTTGACCGACAAACACAACCCGAGACGCTGCCTTCCAATTTAATAATGTTTTGGTGTGGGCTGGAACTTGCAACCCATTACTCATTTTATAATTAATAAAAGGGATAAGGTAAAAATGCAAATTATATCATCAATAGTTATGTCGTGAAATCGTGTTCACTATGTGCATGATGAACACGGGATAGATCAAATAGATCCATAATTTTTAATTTGTAGATTCATAACATGTATACGGTAGATAACATCTATATTGTAGATTTTGAAATTGTACTGTAGATTCATAATTTTTACAACATAGAAATTATAGATCTATCCCTATGTGTTCACCAGGTTCATGGTGAATACGTTTTCACATCATAATTTGCCTTATATCATGCACTAGGTCCAAACTCCAAATAGCATTTGGATTCGATTAAAATGAAGTACATAATTCATACTCCTAAGATATAAAATTTTATAACATTAAATACACAAAAAATCACAACATAAAACTGCATGCTATATATGTATTTATTTTTTAAATTTTATTTTAGGTACATAATATGTGTTGGCACAAATCTCATTTAGGTACATAATTTGTGTTTATATGCACAAATCTCATTTAGACATACAATTTATGTTCATAAGCACATAATTTCACAACACAAGACATAAAAATTGATAACATAAACACAATTACTAATACAGAATTCATACTTACAGAATTTTATAACATAAACACGCAAAAATTACTAATAATTTTTTGTAGTTTGATGATTTAAATACACTTTTTTTTTCCAAATAGTTCATGGTTTATTTGATATTTATATTTTAATAAAATAAATTAATTTTTTTTAATAATAAGTGACCACAACTTCCAACTAATATCTAATGGATGGCACTAGCATTATTTTGGTATGATAAAGGCCAACAGCTTAGGGTCGGACATTAGGTAACCAGTCCCAAATTCTCAATTACGTACTCCAAAAGACTGATTCACCTTATTTCAATTTTCTAATTTTCTTTGTGTCTAATTTATTTCTCTGGACAATAAAATCTTGCATCTCATCACCAACTTGACCTAACATATATTCATCTTGCACTCCAACACTGTAAACCTCTTACGAGCAGTTTCCAGGAAACTTCAAACTCTTTAATTGTACGTATTGAATGGGGACAAATGACGGGAAAAAAAATCTTGAATTGGATGGAACTTTTTAGCGACGTGAAAGTATGAACATGCTTTGTTTGGGAAACATCAAGTTGAAGACGTGCATGCAACTTCATCGAAACTTCCTACTTAGTTGGCTTCTAATCTTATGTAGTGGTTGGCATGACCGGTTTTTAGATTTTTGTGGCCTCAAAATCTGTAAAACTAATATCCTAATTTTTTCTAATCTATACTATTCTAATGGGATATCAACCAAGGAAAAGCAGGGGAGACTGCTTCTCTCTAATGTAGAAACGGTCACCCATGTTCGTTTTTGCTCATACAAAAAAATTCACTAGTGTTCTGCATTGCTACGTATTCACACGTATTTGAATGAATATTTAGCAAATTTTGAAAGGATTAAAGAAATAGTAACAATTTTATTATCTAAATATATAATAAAAAATTTTATAAGTACATCGCACGTGCACTGCACGGATAATTAGGCAATTATTTGCTCGAATTCAAGCAAGGATAACATCAAAAAACATAATCGATACAACTCATTTCATCAATTGCAATATATAATATTCGTTGTTATAATTTATATTTGTATATTCATCAAAATATTCTTAAAGATTATAACAAATATATTCCATGCAACGCACGGATAAAAATACTAGTAATAATAATAGTAATAAGGTGATAAAATGTTACGGTGCACAAAGAAAAAACCAAAAGACATATTATGGAACAAATTACAATTATAACAACAACAACAACAACAACAACAACAACAATAATAATAATAATAATAATAATAATAATAATAATATACATTACAATTATAACAATAATAATAGTGTGCACAAGTTTTGAATCTTAGACCTCCAAATTAAAATACAATAAACACATATTTCTATCATTTCTTTATGAAGTATTTTAAATTTAATTGAAAATTTAGTTTTTATTTCTAAACTAACTAGGTAAAAATAAAATATCAAGCTTCTAAAATTTAGGACTCCTCTAAAATTTGAAGCCTTGTGCAATAGCCTAACTTGCACAGGTCAAAATACGGCCCTGGTGGTTGAGAGTTGCCATAAAAGTACTAACAAAAAACCTTGCCAACAAATTTTAAACTTTTGTTTGATTTGCTTTGCTTTAATTTGCAGGGCGTATACCGCGAAACGTTTAGGTTAATCCACGTAATATATTCCTTAGACATTTGTCTTTATTCATCGCCAATATTCTTTATGTTTTATTCCCATCTTTTGAATGATAATGTCAACTGTTATTATAAATAAAAAGAGACAAATATTGAGATTTTTACAAATTTATTACTCCTATTTTTTAAAAAACTTATTTATAATAGCTGACTTTGTAAAAAATTTCATAGATTATAAGCAAAATAATAATTACTTCAAATTTAATTCTATAGCCTAAAATCTCAGTCGTAATTCGAAATTTATTCTCAGTAATCCGTTTTTATTCTTTTCTTTATGGAATTTAAATCACTCCTCAAACTTCTTTTCTGTGAACAAAACAAAGTACAATACATGGCAAATTATTCCGTGAGTCCGAGCTCCACCTTACAAGGTGAACCAAAGTTTAAATTTCACAATTTACCTTTTAAAAATTCACGATTTTGTATACTACGAACACACAATATTAACAATATTGCAGTCACACATCTTGTATTGTATTAACAAATTTTCTTATACAATTGTTGTGTTTTTTACTTAGAAACATAATTTATATTCTAAAAGTTCACAATTCAAATATTATACTTTGTTTTGTATTCACAAGTTTCCTTCAAATATTGCAGTCACACACACCATGTATTGCATTCACAAATTTCCTTCTACAAATGTTATGTACTTTAACTTAGAAACACAATTTATATTCTAAAAGTTTAGGGTCCGTTTACTAACAGAAAAATGTTTTCTGTTTTCATTTTCTAATTTTTCAGTTTTCATTCTCTGTTTTCAATTCTCTGTTTTCTGTTTAGAAAACTTGTTTACTTAACATAAAATTGTTCTCTGTTTTCTGTTTTCTAATTTTTTTAGTTTTCACCTAAAATTTAGTTTATTGAGTTCAATCAAAATCTAAAACATTATATAGAGTTTAATTCTTAATTTTGATAATGTAAATAATGTCTAACTTTAAAGTATAAGGAAATAAATTATGTTTAAATAAGTAAGGTAAATAGAAAAGATAGAAGATAGTGATAAGTAAAATAAGATGATAATGAATGTAATCATAGTAATGTGGTTATAGTGACATATAACTAAATAGATGATAGATGATTCTGTTTTCTATTTTGAAAACAGTTTTTAAGTGTGTTTCAGTTTTCCGGAAATTTTCAGAAATTATTTTCAGTTTTGAAAATGAAAACTGTATTAGTAAACATGTTTTCTGTTTTCTATTTTCCAGTTTCCGGAAATTCCCAGAAATTTCCAGTTAGTAAACGGCCCCTTACAATTCCAATACTAAACATACACAATTTATACGTCGTTTAAGACCATAGTCCATCTTGCAAGGTAAACCCTGATCCATGGTATGACAATGCACAATTCATTATGAATAGACTTGGAATGGAATTACTATACTATACCTTACATGCTATAGTTCATAGAAAATGAGAAGTGAATTCCAACTCTTGCCATGTGTCTTAATTTTATTGGAGAAAGATGAAAAGAAAGAAAAAAAAAATAGTGGCTCACATTTTTTTTTGAATGAATCAAAGTATGCCATGTAAGCAGGGAATATAAAATGGAGTAAAAAGTGAGAGTACGTGTAGTATTACTGCTAAGAAACAACCCCCAAATTAAAACCAGTGTTCAGAAGTAAAAACTTCAAGGGCTGCTAAATTATTTGAGTAGAGGTGTATATGAAGTAGAATCATGAGGTTAACAGTTTAGCAGCAACATGCTCTGCAATTGCCATGCTTGAAGTAAGGCCTGGTGATTCTATACCAAATAGGTTCACAAGGCCAGATATGCCATGAATGTTCTCTCCCTACAAAACAAGTAGACAAAATTTTCATACCAAATAGGTTCCATCTAAACATCACCATTTCATTGCCAATGCTACAAGTAGACAAAAGAATGGTCAAATTTTCAATATCATTCAACAAAACACCACTTAACCAAAGTAAGCACAAGTTGCAATCATCACAATCAAAATTTTAATTTTAATTTTGCAACACCCAATTTATGACTTACTAGAATCCCCCTCACAAACAAAGTCATTCTCTCTCTCTCTCTCGTTTTGGTTCCCTTTCTTTCTTTATTTTATTTCTTTTTACGGAGTAATAAATAAATTTGGGTTAAGGATCGTCAAGTCATCATGCCATTCGCGCACTGCATGCTGTCATGAAATGTAGACTAAATATACAGCTCTTGCAAAATACAAATCATGCTAACAACAAAGACATTGTTCTATTTGCAATAGCAATACTCCAGTTTATGTGCTGTTTATCCAAACATTGCCTATAATTACTGGGTTTGCAAAACATGAAGCAGTAACTAAGTAAATAAATAGCTCTTGAAGTGTGGCAGTTTCATGCTGTGGCCAAGATTTTGTAGTACAGCCATGTAGGTGCAACAATGGATGCATACAACCAAATAAGAGATTAATCCCCCCCTAGCCAAGTTGGTCGGGCTGTTGGCTTGGTAACCACAAAGTTCCAAGTTTGACTTGTAGTGGGAGCGGCCTATTGGCCTTCTTGGTTTGAGTCAGTCAGTTATGGACGACCTAGGCTGGTTTACCTCCTTGTAGTCCTTTGCCGGCTAGGGTCACAAGGCGGGGTTTACTCCGTGCATACCCCGGGGTAGTGGCTATGGGTTTCCCTTGTCACCCCCCCCCCCCAAAAAAAAAAAAAAAAAAAGAGATTAATCCTAGCTAGGCAATGGCAAATTAGGTATACTGAGCAGTTCAGCCCACTAAAGAATAAGATATCTCATACCTGCACTACAAAATCGGTAAACCCTACTTCTGGCCCAGAAAGTTTGGGTCGAATTCCAGCATAACCAGGCTCAAGAGATCCATCCTTCAGGCCAGGATAATATTTCCTTATTGCTGGGTAAAATAGCTTTGCACGGTCTTCACATACAGAATAATCAAACCTAAAAATGCACTTCATGAATCTAACTCTTCCATTTAAATACAACAGACTACTCAAAAAGGGTAATGATCTATAGGTAATGTAATAATAAGTATTTCAGAACATGGATACAATACAAGTGGGTACCTTATAAAGTATTTCAAGTAATTGAAGAAAACTTACATATTTAGGAAGTTTGAAACATCATCAATGCCTTCTATCCATTCAACATCAGGGCCAAACTTGACTCGACCATTTAAATCCAGAGTTACATGCACACCAAGACCACCAACTTCAGGTATGGGATAAATCAAATGTGTGAAAGGAGTCCTGGCGTTTGAGAGAGTAAAATAGCAACCACGGGCATAATAGGCATCGGGAATCACTCCACTATTAAGGCCACTGAATTGCTTTGCCACAGCTGTTGCACTCAGGCCTGCAGAGTTCACTACCAATCTGGGAATAAGTATAAGATCTGGGTAGAGTGGAGAATTTATTTGCCGGTTTGTAAGAGTGCTGCTTTCAGAAACGTGAATATGAATTTGATTTCCATCAAGATGGCCACCAATAACAGCAGTATTGTAAGTGAAAGTTGTACCATGACTTTCAGCTTCCCCCTAGACCCATTTGGTGTGACATCCCTGTCAATATACATATATAACTCTAAAATGGTAAACGAAATAACAGAAGTATAGCTCCTTTAGATACACGTAACACGCCTGAAGTTAAGTACTGAGTTTGAGAGTGATACAGTTTAATTTCCATTAAGATCAGAGTGTTATCAATTCTAGTTGGAATGGAAGCTTGAGGTAGTAAAAGACCATACCACTAGTGACAGCATTAGGGAATGGGTATCAACTATTCCTGATGTAGGTGACCATAAAGCTTTAATACACTGCAGTTCTGGTTCTAATCTTCTAGCCTCATAAGCCTCAATCATTCTGAGACCATCAACCCCATTCTCAATTCCTCTAGTCATCAGAGCACTCAACTTTGGGATCTCAGAAGATCCAGTAGCAACAATAAGCTTCCCAATCTCCCTATGAGGAACTTCATGATCCTTGCAGTACTTGTACAGCAGCTCTTTCCCTCTGACACAAAATCTTGCCTGCTAGGTGATTTGGAATGGAAAAGTTACAATTCAATTCTTCATTTAACAAAAATATACAGTTCATAGCACCTGGAACATATAATCCCATACATATTATTACCATTTACCAACACCTGCAAACATAAACAGAATACAAATCCAGAAAAGAAAATGACACACTTTGGCTGCTTTAACATAAAAAGACTTGGACCAACTTCATGAATTCCCTAAAATTTCCAAACAATCTTTATTCCCATCATCATTCCTAGAATTTCCATTCTTCCTAGGCAAGAACAACTCAAATTAAAAGATGGAAAAAGAAAAATAAAATTGGTGTGTAACACATCAACCTTTAACATTTTATTTCCCATCAGCTGCTAACTTTACCATCAATCACTGTTTTAAAAAATTTAAATTTCCGACTTCCACAAATTCCTTTCTAGGTTCAACATCCACCATGACCTCTAAGTGAAAAGAAAGGGAAAAACTTTGCATACATCTCTTAGCCTTTGAATAGCAATTATTCCATATGCTTTTACATCTTGAATTTCAACTGTTCATGGTCTTACATTCTTGCAGATAGTATCATAGATTCATAGCAAGTATAGAGTAAAACTTGACAAAGAAAAAATGGAAGTAGCAGAAACAAGATAAAGTGGACCTTGAGAGAATTTGGAGGGTAGTAGATGCCAGCATGGATGACCTCACTGTTGCGGGAGCTAGTGCCGGTACCGAAAGTGGGCGCAGAGTCGATTACCAGGACATCTCTGCCATGCTTCACGGCCAGTTCTCGCGCCACCGCTATGCCCACTATGCCTGCCCCTACTACCACAACGTCCACCCTTTCTCTGGGCACTGATTTGTATCGTTCGCCGGACGACAGTGATGTCATGGTTCTCCTATAATTCCTAGTCTCGATTAGAAGCCGGAAGATCTTATCGGCGATTGAATTCACGTGCTTCATTTTCCCCCTTCCGGCGACGGGCAATCCTGCAGAGCGATTGCCGATGTGGAATTATAGCGGAAGCGGCAGTCAGTTGATCGCAAACTTTGGGGACCTTTGATTCATAAAGATGTTATTTTTGTGATTTTGTCCTTTTCTTTTTAATAATCGGTTTAAGTTTTAACTATTTATGTCTTCTTTTTTAATATGCCCTATGCTTAAAAATCTATACTCAATATTAGTATTTTATATGGAGAGTATTAAAATTTTAGATTTATTTAGTTTTTAGATATTTATATTAGTTATATTATTGTATAATAATAACGATAATAATGTAAATTATTTTTATAAATTTGATATTTATATTTTATGAAATAATTTATATACTATTTCAATATATAATGTCTATATATTAGTACGTTGAAGAAGATAATAAAATATATGGTGAATGTATGTGTATACCAACAATCGTTGGAAAATATAACAGAAGTTATAGTGATAAATGTATTTTTGACCAAAATATTATATAATACAACCCTTATAGCATAATGTATATAAAAAAAATAACAGAAAAAACAAATATAAATGAATGGTATAAGTTTCATTTACACTTGACACTACAACCACTATGTTACATGTTCATAACATATTGTATTTATCTTTAGAAAATTCAAAGCTTGATGTTTATAAACACATTTGGAGTAAATTTTTCAAAAAATGCAATGGCACACAATTAATCAGCAAATTATATCGTGCATCGCGGTGCATAATCGATTATGCACCGCATATCAAAACGACGTCATTTTGTTTAATGAAAAGAAACGTCATCCGTTTCCCACTCTTTCGCACCCTTTCGCAAAAAGTAACTTTGTTATTCAATTTCATTTTGTATACACTGCAGTTTCAGTTCAATATAACTACAGTTTCATTTCGATATAACTATAGCTTCATTCGATATTTATAGACTCAAATATGTGAAAATGTTATTTAATTTTATTTTATATACACTATAGTTTTATTAAAACAAAATTACATGATCATTTTGATATAATTACAGCTTCATTGTACAATATCAGTGTTGCAAAAATCACGCCTAGGCGCTCTAGGCGGTCCCCAAGCGCCTAGAGGGCGCCTAAACGATTTTTTCAACATTATACAATATACACTCAAATATGTGAAATGTTATTCAATTTCATTTTATATACACTACAGTTTCATTTCACCACAACTACAATATTATTTTGATATAACAGCAGTTTTATCTGATAATATAAAAATAATACGTGAGACAGTGTCAGTTTTGATATACTGTAGTATCAGTTAATTCATACAAAAAAATTCACACTCTGTTAACACTAACGGCACGCCGTTTATTTACTTAAAGAAACAACGCCGTTTTAACATGCACCGCGCTCCACGATATAACGGACCCAATTACTCCTGATAGTTGAAATGTTGTCGATCATACCAGAACGATTGAAAGCCTTCTTTTGGTAAGATGTAGCTGGGTTTTATATAATCGGCCCAATTAACTTAAGCCCAATTCTTCATTGAATAAAAATTAAAAACGGAAAAAACGAATTTCAGACTGCCTCAAAAATCATAATCTGAGCTGCACCGATTTGGATCTCTCGATCTATCTCACTATAAGCAAGATATGCTTAGCTTCTGCAACTCAGAGCTTTCTGTACAATGAGTTAATACTTCAACTTTGAGTATTCATATATATTGGTGTAGAGAGAAATGGGGGGAGGAGGGTCATTGATAAACATGAGGGCATTCGATTGGAAGGCGGGGCAGACGATAATGGTGTCTCTTTTGGTAATGATTGGATCTTTCTACACCGGCACTCTCTTCAGCACCACCGATTCTTCTTCTCCCCTCTATACGCTTCAGCAACAGCCGCAACAAGAACAGCAAATTGCAGTCTCTTCCAATCCCAACTCATCACAAACCCCCTCTGGTTAGTTCACTGTCAAAGATTTCATATTCCTTCTTTTTGAGTTATTTTGGGGGAGTGAATTCTTGGAAAATGATAGTTCAATAAGGGATTTCTAGCTTAAAGCAAGTGTAGAAAAGAACTGTACTTAAAGATGGAAATTTTGGTTCTTGATATGTGGATGATTCTATTCATTACTATGCTATTTGGAAGCATTTCCCGGTTTGCAAGTAGCTTTCAATGTGTTAGTGCACATTCAATTTGTTAAAAAGGGAATCTTTTAGTTACTCCAACTAACACTTAAGTACTTCCCAATGGACTATTTGCAATATATCTGCAAGTTTGAGAAATTAGGCTATAGTTATGAAGTAAGTCAGATGTTATACCTTGAAGAGGGACAAAAGAGATCTGCCCATGCCAATTTGTTTTGAGATTCTGCAGATAGAATCAGGAACTCTTTGAGGTTTAAGCTTCTCTACCCAACCTATGAAAAGATGTGCGTACTGGATAATATGTTTCTGTAGGTAGTTTTTTAATATACAGAAGGTAATTGGCTTCAGATCTTGCACAAGCAACTGATTTGATGTTTGGATCAAATCACCTTGCTTTAGGGGAAGTGTTTATCACTTGATTGCAATTGTGCTCTATAGTACTCAAACTTTAGGCATTGAAGGATACAATACAGCTCTGAGCTCCTATATAAAACTAAAATTCTTCTGTATGATTGTAAAATATCCAAGTTTGACTTTGTTATATTTTGTAATGATGTGGGTAAGAGCCTATTGGTTTTTATACATCAATAAAATGTGAAGGCTTTTAAATACAATGGTACACCTTATCTTTGTTAGGATTCTGATGGAATCTGAGTTTGGTTTGTACATCAAGCTCACATGTCGCTTTGCTCCTTTTACTGCTTAATATTTGTCCTTTGGTAAAGAGCATTTTATACTGGTTTGGATGGTTGCACATTATGATTCCTATTCTTTGCACTTACATGCAGGTAGTCCAACATTTACAAACAAAGTTGCTCTTACTTATCGAATGGTACCACTAACTATCCCAAAAACTGGAATGAATGTTTGCCCTCTGAATTTCAATGAGTATATTCCTTGTAATGATGTATCTTATGTTAAAGAGTTACTGCCAAAATTAAATCTTTCAAGGAGGGAAGAGCTTGAGAGGCATTGTCCTCCAGTAAAGAGGCGCTTGTTTTGTTTGGTGCCACCTCCAGTTGATTATAAGATACCAATAAGGTGGCCTATTAGCAGGGATTATGTATGGCGAAGCAATGTCAACCATTCACATCTTGCTGAAGTCAAAGGAGGACAAAATTGGGTACATGAGAAGGATAAACTCTGGTGGTTTCCAGGTGGCGGAACTCATTTCAAGAATGGAGCTTCTGAGTACATTCAGAGGTACATGACACCATGGCCAGCCCTAGCAATGTGCGGCCAGGGCCCCAAAATTTTGGGGGCCTATTTTTTAAAAAAGAAAATTAATACACACACACACACATTGTTAAAAGATTTGTTGTAGCTTCTTGAGCATATTAGCATATATGGAACAATGAGGATTTCATTTTAAAAATTATATATGTGTGTGTTTGTGTATTACATATTTACATTTGATTGGTTCAGTAATTGGCTATTGAAAATTCCAATACTCTATACTTACAGCAGAAAAATTGAAAAACACCAAGAGTCTAAGACCTATATATCACTTGTGTTTTCTATTCTTTTATGTCTAATGTGATCATGCTAGAAACTATCGTTTACAGCGAATTTTTAATTGATATTTGTATATAAGTTGATCAATATTTATTTTTTACTATACATTCAAGAATATCCATAATTTTGATATACAATTTGATTTTTAAAATTCTAAATACATGTTTTTTGCATCTAAAGTTTTAAATTAAATTTTTTTGCATAAGATGTTTTGCTTATAATGTATAATTTTGTATAAATGCTATTAAAGTGCTTAGTATTTATTGGTTTTTCATATGAAAATTTTTAAAATAACTAATTGTCATAACTTTTGGGCAGCTGAAGTGTAATCGAACAATATAATTTGCTCAATTTAAGGTCCATTTATCTGTTATTTTTTATACCTTATAATAAATATTATATTTTCTTTTATGTTTACAATTATATAAAGAATAGCCCAAATTTGATTATTGCACAAGACCCCTATTTTATTAGGACTGGCCCTACATGACACCCCGTTCAAAACCACTATGGCTTCACCAATTAGAATTTTGTTTCTCAGAATGAATGTAGTACGGGGGTGCTGATTCAGGCTGGACACTTCACAAGGAATTTTTATAACGCACCTACTAAAGCAAATATAAAGAGAAAATGCTCAAATTCATTTTTCTACTTTCTTTGATGCACAGATTAGGGAATATGACTACCAATGAGAAAGGTGACTTGCCTTCAGCGGGAGTATTTCAAGTACTTGATGTTGGTTGTGGTGTTGCTAGTTTCTCGGCGTATCTTCTTCCTTTGGACATAGAAACTATGTCCTTTGCTCCAAAAGATGGTCATGAAAATCAAATTCAGTTTGCTTTAGAACGAGGGATTGGTGCAGTGATTGCTGCTTTAGCCACTAAACAACTTCCATATCCAAGTAACTCCTTTGAAATGGTCCATTGTTCTAGATGTCGTGTTGATTGGCATGAAAATGGTGAGTTTTAAGTGGCCACCTATGGCTCAAAAGTTTCTAATTTAAGTGCCTCCAAAGTGTTCTTGCTATCACACATAATATTTTGTTTCAAAGAATTAAATTTAGGAATCTTGGGTTGAAATTAAAATGATTTAAGTTAGAAGAGAACTAAATCCTTGAAGAAGTCTTGTGGAGTTATCCTATTTTTTTTCTCCTGTATTATTAGTATTATGATTACTACTACTACTACTATGATGAAAGATTTCAATATGTTGATTTTGAGTTTCGGACTAATGTACTGTGTTTGCTTAAGCACTACCTACATGAAAGATTGCATGCTAGTGTAGCAATGCTTGGAAGAACACTTCTTATCATTTCTTTTTGTGGTTATTGCAGATGGTATTCTACTCAAGGAAGTGAATCGCCTTTTAAGATCAAATGGATACTTTGTCTATTCAGCTCCACCTGCATATAGAAAGGATAAGGATTTTCCAGATATATGGAATAAGCTAGTGACACTTACTTCTGCAATGTGTTGGAAACTAATTGCTCGACAAGTTCAAACGGCAATATGGGTCAAACAAGAAAATAATTCATGCCTTCAGCATAGTGCAGAGCAGCATTTAGTGAACTTATGCGATGCTGCAGATGATTCTAAACCCTCATGGAAAACACCTCTGAGGAACTGTGTTACACTAAGTAACACAAAATCTAACTCTAAAAAGCTCCCTCCTCGGCCACAGCGCCTTTCAGAGTATTCACAAAGTCTTGTGCGAATAGGTTTGTTTAACCCTCTTTTGTTTTATCTACATTTATATCTGAAAGACTGAAACTATGGCTAATACTCGTCTAAAAATATTTTTGTTTAGAATTATCAAATGATAGCTGAGTTTTTACTTTCTATGCTGTACAAAATTGTTTTGCAAAATATATTCATTGTTGACATAAAAATATTTCTTTGCATCAAGTATGTACACGATTCATATGGCTAATGATTAAAGGTAAAGTAATTCTTGTTGAGTAGACTCGTTTTAGTCTTCAAAGCTTTGCTGTTGTTTCATATGCCTATAGTTTCTTGAACTCCAGAAATACTGAATTACAGAATAATGATGTGTAACTTAGAACATTAACCTACTAAAGTTCATGCATTAATCATCAAATTGATTTTTGGAGAGTTGCTTATAATACTGTTAATGGCCAAGTAGGGTATGGCATTAATCTCTAAGGTACTGAATTACTAGAGTTTTCTACATTACTATAATAATAGATCCATCGTAAGGATTTATATTTTATGATGAATCATAACCAAGTCTTAACATGCTACATCTGGTACAGGTGTTGATCGTGAGAAATTCTTGTCAGACACAATCTATTGGCAAGACCAAGTTCGCCATTATTGGAGGTTGATGGGTGTTGAAGAGAATCAAATACGTAATGTCATGGACATGAATGCTTTCCTCGGTGGATTTGCAGTTGCTTTGAACACATGGCCAATCTGGGTAATGAATGTAGTTCCTGTAACCATGAACAATACCCTGTCTGCCATTTATGACCGTGGTCTAGTAGGCACTTTTCATGACTGGTATGCTGGTATCATATTTTTGGACAACTTAATTTTCACAGTAATCAATAGTAAGTATCGTAATAACAAATTTTGTTTGGAATTTCTAGGTGTGAGCCATTTTCAACATATCCACGCTCATACGATCTGTTGCATGCCAACCATATTTTTTCTCACTATAGAAATTACGGACAAGGTTGTTTGCTTGAAGATATCATGCTGGAGATGGATCGTATGCTAAGACCTCAGGTAATTCCTAACTTTTCAGTTTTCAATACTCCTGGTTCAATCTGGATATAATTAGGATTATATCCGCATTAAATTTTCCAAAAACTATGCAAAAGAGTGAAGCTTGTCACTAACTGGAAAATAGATTATATAAACAATTGCATAACTTTCTGAACCACATATTTCATGTGATGGAGAGTAGGGAGTTGAATATAGGTGGTCTACCAAACACTAATAAAATTTGTTTTATTCTATATTTATAGCAAATGTAAACTTGTTAGTGCCGAATAAGCAATTGTCAATCCGTGAGTTTCTAGCATTACGTGATTCTTTGGAGGTGGGGGAGGGGGGAGAAATTATTTTCTTATAGAGAGGTACCCATCCATCAAAATTATTGCATATATATTATTCAAAGTGTCGGGGAAGCCAGCGAAGTGTTCCATATTTTCTGTCCTAGTCTGGTGTCTTATGAAAGGTATGCTGCCTTCCCTTTTCTGGAAGGAAAATGGATGGACAGGATTGACCGAAGACACCATATTGTTATTAACTGAATTGAACTATGTTGAGCCTAGCTTAGTAAGAACTTCAACTTCTGAGTTGATGCACCTCTTTACAGAAACTCCATGTTTAGCTGCAAGTAATCTTAGCACCATCTGCTAATGTGCAGGGATTTATTATTATCCGAGATGAAGAAGCTGTTGTATCTAGGATAAAAGATCTAGCTCCAAAGTTCCTTTGGGACGCCAAATTGCATTTTCTTGAAGACGATAGAAGGAAAATGGAACAGGTTCTGCTTTGCAGAAAAAAGTTCTGGGCAATCACCTAATGCAAAAATGGCTCGACTATCAACTAGTTTTTCGCTTCTGAGAATGTCACATTCTGTATTTCTCTTACAGGTGCTAGTTTTGATTCATGTTGTGTTCTTAGTTTTTCATTCCTTGGTTGTCAGTTGTAAATGATATAAAGACACAAATCTTGTTTTTGTGAGCAGGATGTAGATCTAGAGTTCTTTTGTGCAACTTTAATTCTGAAACCATAAATAGTTGTTACAACCATTTGATGACAAGGAAGAATATTGATTTCCTTGTCCCAATACTACTGTGTTTACAATTATTAAGGATAATTATAAGTTGGTTGATTTTGTAATTATAAAAAGAGTTGTTTACTGATATTTTTTTATTTCAACCGAATAATTATAAACCATTTAAACTGAATGATCTTATCATGATGTTTTATGAGTTTTTTTAGAATTACGAACTCTGTTATAATGTAGTATATGTTCATGGTTATTTTCTCAATCTACTGAAGCACAAATAGTTAATACTGTTTTATTGGAACTCAAACTTATGACCTTCAAAATGGGAGAGCCAGCCCTAGACCACAAGGTGATTATTTTTCTTCTTTTACCTTCATATATATATATTTTTTCCTAAACGTATAGGTCTGCTCTGCATTTTTCGCTTCTCGTTTCTCTGATCGGGCCTGCTCTGTATAGGCATGCTCTGTGGAGTTTGGTATCGGAGAAATGAGAAGCGAAAAACGTAGAGCATGCCTATACGTTTAGGGAAAAAGAAAAATACGAAAAAAATATTATAATACGAAGGCAAAAGAATAATAAAAAATTTCTTGTCAGCAATATTATTACCGGTAACCTATATGAAACTTGTAAAAAGTTTTAGATGACAAAAAATTATGATTTATGGTTTTAAATATCACTTATTAAAGGTCATGGTGTGGCATTAAAAATTAGGAATAGTTCATAGTGCGGGATGACATTTTAGTTTTTTTTTTTTTTTTTTTCAAAATACAAATTTAGTATAAATTAAAGAAGGGAAGAAATAAAAGACAAAAAATATAGAGCAGTTAAGTTATTTCCTCATCAGTCATCAACATGAGACCATTAAATGTAGTTTTGACATGACAAGACAAGCCCACGCTTGTCGGGGCATTGCCCCCACACCCTTCTCTCTCCCCTATTATTACTATAAAAAAAAAATACTAAATACTAAAATTAATAAATTATACTTCTTAAAATGTCTGCCTGACATTAATAATAATTTAGACTTTATAAAAAAAAAAATTAGACTTTATAAAATTTATTAAAACATACAAAAATAAAAAAAATTAGTTTCAATAATAAATATTATACATAACAAACAAAAATGGGAGTGTAATGCATTTTGATTTTCTTTATAATTACTACTTCTATTTTCTTTTTGTCTACTGTCAATAAATAAAAATATTAATAATACTGACACATATGTATATGGTACAACTGATCCAGTGCTTGAATTGACTGTTTCCTCTCCCTTACTGCAATTATTAGGTGCAACTGTATTTACATCACAAGGAAATAATACTTAATAGGAAGCTGCCAAATAAAAAAGAGTAATATATATTTCTCATATATATTCTCATGTTTTAAAAATTTTACCCTTTGTTTATGTAATACTCCATATCTTCTTCCTGATAAATCAAAGTGGGCCATGGTTAGGTAATAAGAGACTGTTATAAGACACAAAACATAGCAGTTTATATACTTCACCAAGCTCAGCTCGTGGCCTCTGGTGAATTGTTTCAGCCTTGTTTGAACTTCAAAGAATCTTCTGTGACTAAGGAATACATAGTCACTATGTGAGAGTTTGCAGTACTTTGTGATCCTAGTCGGAAATTACCACAAGGATATATTATAAATTAGTGCAATGTAATCAAAATTGTCTATAGTTGATTGACTTAAATTAAGAAGGTCAATAAGTGCACTCGAGTTGAGAGTTGAATTTGTAACTTTGTGGTTACCAAATTGTACTGGCTAATCAATTTGGGTGGAGTTAGTTGCGTCAGTTTCATAGAATTCTGATTGACCTCCTATATATCCATCAATAAAATTGAGATGCGACAAAGGTCTTAAACCCCACCACCTAAGAAAACGAACATATATCATTTATCATTTGAAAAAAACCCAACATCTGCAAAATTGTTTTGACCCCTCATCTCAGATATTGTTTGGCTCCACCCTTTGATTTCTCTTTCAACCACTGACCACTGTTGCAGTGTAGTTGCGCATAGGGAGCCATTAATAAGATGGATCTGAGCTCCCTTTAATTTCTGCAATATAAGCATATATACATGCCACCCATTTCTCATGCATGCATGCATGCATTGACACGTGAGGCGCTCAGCTCAGCGGAGTAATTAAAATGCAAAAAATTATTATTACTGTTTTAGTTACAGCTGAGCTAGGTAACTAGCGAGCTGAGGTGCAATCCAAGAAGGGTTAATAATTGGGTGGTACTGTACTGATATATATGCGTGTAGGAAAGATGGATGGATGAATGAGAGAGCGGCCGGCAAAAAGAATGAGAGGAAACACTGTACTGATTGAAGAGACGTTAGATCAGATCAGATCCATTATCACTATGCATGCATGTCTTTTCCTTTCACTTATTCAATCATCACAACCCCTAAAATGTTACGCCACATTTTTGTACATTCAAAATAAATAAATGTACCATCATAAAATTTTAAAATAATTTTTTGTAGAGAGAAAAAAAATAGTGCCAAGGCTGACATGCAAGAGTCGTTCCAGCATAAGCTTCCAAGGAAGAAAAAAAAAAAAGAGTAAAATATGAGTATGTTGGGTTGAACTCTCATATGGAATGTTGTAATTTCGAGTTTCAATGGAGGTTTTATTGGCTCTTTGTGTTTCAGTAGATTGAGAAAGTAGTTATGAACAGATACTACATTGTACTAGAGCCAGTAATATTCCAAAAAAAAAAAAAAGAAAAAAGAATTGGTTGATGATGACAACACTTTTCTCCCTAAAAACCTCGTCAGTTAGTCAGTGATGAGTGAGATGTGATGGATGGAGAGTTCATGAGTTGGTACGCCACCATGTCACGAGTCACGACGACGTACGATATGATGGGTGGGGGGGGGGGTTCTGATCTGGCCTCATCGTACGGCTGATAGCCCTCGTGAGTGGGAGTTGGACCACCCCACCGTGGAGACTGGAGAAGAAGAAGCTGTCCTGATTATTCAGGATCATATCGACGACTCACTACTCTTTCACAACTCTCATTATATATATTGTCATGTATGTATGTACTAGTTTATCACATGGATGCCCCTCCATTTCATGTCTTGTCAAATCATACAACTTTTTTCTTTTTTATTTATTTATATAAAACCCAGGAAGCAAAGTGAACACACCACATACCCAAGTCATTTCGCTGTAACGCCTACAAGAATGTATTACATATAATGCATCTACATTCACAATGTTCCAAGAAACTCAGAATAAAGACAGGAGCAGACTATACATCAAAATAACACATACCACACATATATATAATAACAATACTAACATTATTGATCATTTTAATATAATATGCAGTGTTAGTTGTCTGTCTTTTTTTATTTTTATTATTTTTTTTTAATGTTGTTGGATTAATAGAATTTGATCCAAATTATTTATGATTTGATTTTTTAATGTTTAATGTAATATTAGTGAACAAAACTGTTTGTATATATTACAAAAAATGAGAAAATGACTTAAAAAAAAAAAAAAAGAACATGACTTGTTTAATCCATCAATTTTGTTGTAAACTTAGTCCCCCAATTATAAGAAGGATCATATTTTGTCCTAGAATATAATTCCTATAGTGGCCATTTTCGTTCATCACCTCAAGTATATGTTAAAACCTAATATTAATGTAAGAGTAAATATGAAAATTCATTTACATAAAATTACAGATAAGACAAAGAAATTGATTCAATCACTTTTTGAAATATCATTTAGAAGGCATTTAGTAGAACCATAGAATTAAGTTATCTCTTTTATTACTCTAGTAATGTATATATATTAAGCATATAAATATATAAACATAAAATTAGAGTACAATTTATCAATATATCAACTTAACCTTGTAATCATTAAGACGGAGCAAATTCTTTAATGCCCCAGGTGTATCATATACTTAAATAACATTTAACTCAAATAAATCTTATTATAATCACTATATATATATATATATATATATATATATATATATATATATATATATATATATTAAATGTGATATTCAGGACAGCACATGTTCGGATGATAGCTTTTCCTAAAACACAAGTCAAATGGTGGGAGAGAAGCGGACATAGTATGGTGGCTTAAAATTATGTTCTCCCAAAGGCAAACCGTATCACCGTGATAGTCTCATACAAAGCCCCTAATTAATATACAAGTCAAATAATTAACCAATTGACAAATTTAATTGAACGCAGAAATAAAATAATTCAATACAACTAGCTTAATCATCACATTAATTGTATATTTAATTGGTATTATCATTTGGCGACCAGCCAACCACTGCACTTCCTATTTGCAGTTTGTCTCCTTTCAATTATACGCAATAATTAGAATGATATTTCAATTACGATAGTAATCGAATCTATATATATATATATATATATATATATATATATATATATATATATATAAAGCATATATGTTTTTTTAAATGTATTTTGAATGAGGTATGATCGGAACTCAATTCAATTAGATGTATATTATAAGTAGAGTACGTCATCAAAATAGACCTTGCTTATCGATCAGGTTGACCCACTCCGCCCTCTACTTAGGTAAGGGGTGGGTTCCGAAGATAGAGGTCTGTCAAAGCGTGGGCTTTTTTGACCCATCCCGATATATATATATATATATATATATATGTGTGTGTGTGTGTGTGTGTGTGTGTGTGTGTGTGAACCTGTGCACATTTTTTATGTTGCATCATGCACTTTATAACTTTAGACCTCAGCTTTTCTGTCCAATTTGCACCCTGAACTTTAGATCTATCCTTTCCGCCTTTACCCCTCAACTTTTCCGTCCAATTTGCACCCTGAACTTTCTTCTTTTCAATTTAAATCTCAAAAACCTTACCCTTAGACTCTTGACTATTTTCTAGACTGAATTCATTAACGAATCTCTACTTTTTTACTTCAATTATCATTTGGCTCCGGCTTCATAGCTCTCTCAATACTAAATTATGAAATTCAAAAATTTAATTATTTGTGTTATCGAAGGGAGTGGTATGCCAT